AAAAAATTAATTCATGAAAACATTTTTCAATTTCTCTTCTATATTTATTTTATATTCATTCATTCATTTTTATATTATCCCCGTAGCGTTGTGGACAAAATGATGGCCAGTTTATGACTGCCTAGATCTCTTTGAGAACGAGGGACTAACGAGATTTGTTTTGTCCCACATGTTGACGGGAGAAAATTTAACGCTATTGGAGGGAGGGCAAATATCGCGGCTTTCTCGCTCTCAACGAGACCTCGGCTGTCTCGATCTCAACGAGACTTCGGCGGCCATTTACATCTAAGATCTTACTGAAAGATCCTAGATTTGTAAAGGATATTTTCACATAATATACTTCATTCAATATAGTTCATTCTATCAGTGTTAGTTGTGTTTTGTCCACAACAGCGGATGCGTCCATTAAATCGATCCTTCAAACCACCATGATCCTTAATATATAGTTCATAGAGAGACTGTATTTAAACCACGTGTTTTGTACGAGTATGATAAATTTCAGGCATTCCCGGGATATTCTGCAAGTATACAGACTCCTTTCCTCTTAAATGTCTACTTGTTTCCACGTAAAACGACCAATTCGATGAAGTAGTTCCTATGAACATTGTTGAACCTGAGAACAAAAATATGTCGAAATTTAACAAAAAACTATTGCACTATATGAACCTAATTTCTCTCCCAGAACATGAACTGCCCCCCCCCCCCCGTGAAGGGTTGCTACCACAGTAAATATATAGATATGCGCTATTGTTTTGACTCCCATTTTCACGGTCGAGTCGTTTTTTTTGTCCTACCCAATTAAAACTGTCTCGGCCATTTTAGCAAAATTTAGGCCATTTTTTTCGGAACGCAAAATTTTAGCGCCGGAAGCGCCCTCAACGTCGATCTTGTTTGGTCAAGTGTTTAACTGGCTGTAGAACATTTTCATCCACCAGATGAGTACCACCCTGGCCCTGGTATCATTCTAAAATGCACTTCTATAAAGCAACACAGATCAGGTCCACAGTCAGAGATACAGAATCTAAACACAGTGTCTAGGCAGAAAAAAAGAGCGACCTCTATGGAGTCAAGCGCTTATACGCTTTGTGAAACAATGAAACCATTATGAAGAAGACCCAATCAGAACACCATTCTCCAAAAGTGAAGTCCATTT